CCAAGCTGGTCCGCCTACCTTTGACGTACGGCCGTACAGGTTCACCCTTGACACGTGCGGGGCCATTCAGCAACGAATCTCCACCACCCTGAACGCCGCCATCGCGGCTACTGGCATGACCATGTTTTCGGAGTTTGAGCCCGATTGGGCGCGCTGCTCCGAGCTCGAGGTCGGCACATGCGGCACTTTCAATTCCCCCGAAACAGCCCAGGTGCTCGTGAATGTGACCCAGGACCTCATGCCAGGTTGGATTGCGGAAGCCGCCGGCGGCGACCTTTGCAGTACCGAGCTGGACGGCTACAAGATCACGGTGACCACCAATGACGACTCCTGTGTGTTTTTCACCTCCACATCCAGCTGTGCCAAGACCTACGCGCCCTTCCCGACCTTGACGTAGGTCCCCGGGGTGAGGGCACGGGGGATGGAGAGAGGATGGAGGGCAGAGAAGGGAACAACGACGGATCTGGGACATACATGCGTACATATGCACATACACGCATACATGCATACATGCATACATACATAGGGGCCAGTCCGTCTCAGGTGTCCAGCCATCCTTTGCTGCCGTAGTGGTGCTCACTCGGGGCATATTGGCAGGTGAGGGCCAAGGCCTTTTTTTATTATGTTTCTGCATGCCTTTAGAGGAGGGCTAGCGGACGGGAACGGTTGCTTGCCGTGGGCTTGGCGGCCTGAAGCAGCTTGATCAGCGGGGAATTGGTTATCTGATCGTACTTAGAAGGAAACATAAGCACACCCCGTCATCGCGCGCATCCCCAGGAAACCGTCATGTGCATCCTTCCTCAACCTTACAGTAGTAAGGCGCCATTGCTGTTGCTGCTGTTGCTGCTGCTTTTGCCGTTGCTGTTGCTGTTGCTGTTGCTGTTGCTGTTGCTGTTGCTGTTGCTGTTGTTGTTGCTGCTGCTGCTGCTGCTGATGATGATGATGATGCTGTTGCCGTTGCTGCTGATGGTGATGATGATGCTGTTGCCGTTGCTGCAGGTGCAACAAGACGCAGGGTGTCCTGCCGTTCGCCATCGACCCGCGATACTACCCTCTTCCAGACCAGCCGGGCAAGACCACGAGCGACCTTTGCTTCATGGTCAAAACCCTTTCGCCGGAACAGATAGTGCCGGTACGTTGATGAGACTATACCGGAGGCAGGACCGGGCGAAGCATTTTCACTAGGCCACCATCCCGCCGTCAGCCCCGCCGCAGCTGAACTGAAATAAAACATAAAGGCGCAAGATTAAAGCCTTTGTTTTCGATGCCCTATCTATCTGGCAGCCATGCCAAAGCTAGCTAGCGGCTTGATGTGCATCTATATTCGCTGTGTGTCTACTACTACACATCGGCGGGATGCCAGCCAGCCGGGGACGACCGGGACCGAGAATTTCTTTCTATCATCCAGAAATTAAAATCGGCTGTCTCGCAGCATTGCATTATTCGTTGCTCGCATCACACTCCGAAATAGCAAGGAAGGGACCGCAGAATGCCCCTTCCCCCCAATGAACCGCGCTCGTACATCACGCCGCCAGGTGCTGTACGTAAGTGCGTGTTACATACCTGCAATACATTGGCCCCTGACTCCATCTTTTTCCTGAAAATGGTTGCAGGCCTCTTGTGGGCAGACGGGTGACAACTTGGCTAGGATTGAGTGGCACGCATGTGAGTATACACAGCTGCGGCTGTCACCGCTACTGTAATGCCTGGTCCTGTCACTTATGATGTGTAGTAGCTGGCAGCCGAAAAGGCCTCTTAGGAGGCTGGCAAAGCGCCTTAGCGCGTATTTATAGACGGTGTGTGTGCCGTACTGTGCTATAGCTACTACAGGCTGTTTCGATGGCTACTCTACTTGCTTGCTTGCCACTAACTTCCACAGCACCGTACTCCTTTAGCTTAGGCCCTCGGACGCATGTGCATGGCTAGGTTGGGTTTCCGTGTCTGTGTATGTCGACGGGCGCGCTGGAACACACGTCAGGGTGTGGTTCTTAATGATGGCGAGACGTTGTGCCTGTGACACGCGTGGACATCATCATTGGACTGGTCGATATGGGGCAGCAGTGATGGATGCATGTTGGGCTGGTGGACGAACACATGCGACCTGTCCATAACCTTGCATTGGCTCTGCTAATTGCCCTTGACTAACGTTCCCCTCGCTCCCCCACTTCCAACTCCTCGTTGTACCCCGCAGTCCAGAATATGAGCTCGACGATCAAGTCAATTTCTCTGTACCCTCGCACGGGCAATGTCGTGACGATTTTCCCCTCGTGGGGCCCCTCGGGGAGCAACACACTCAGAGGTGAGAAGCCTGTAACTCTGTAACAACAATATGTCAGTTTCCTGCCGTACATATACGTATCGGGCCTCATGCGTGATAGCTAGCAAAGCCAGCTGCACTACACTGTATCAAGAACAGCCAACCATGCGATGTGCAATTTTCGCCTGCATCTTCCGTCCCTGCAATCGTTTCGTTCTATTCGATCTCCCTCCCCGCCCGATCTCCACACTGCAGCTAACAACATCAACTGGTCGCGTGATCAAGCCAATGGCGGTATGGTCTGCCTCCAGATGAAGAAGCCAAGGACTACATTAGATGACCTCTGCATCGGCGGAGCTGGCCAGTGGTGAGCAGGAGTGCAATCATAGCCCAGCCGCCACTCCGCTCCTGCACTCCACCGGCTTCCCTTTTAGTGTGTATGTCTTTGGAAGTTGGAACTTCGGGGTTTTGCTGGCCCATCAAAAGAAAATGGCGAACCCACAGGTAGACGGGTAGATATCTGAATCCATCGACGCCCACACATGTACATGCACGCACGCACACTTGCACGCACAGTCGCAGGGGCCTTCTCGTCACTGCATTGGTTTTGCATTGAATTCCGCGGCCAGCAGCGCCCTGCCTGTTACTCCCGAAACCCCCGAAGCCGCACCAGAACCCCCTTTTCCTATCGTCCACCTGACATGTTTGGTACCCGCACCTTTCCCGCTGCTGTCCCTCCCTTCCCTGACAGCTTCGTAAGCGTGTACAGCAGCAGCAACAGCTGCTGCCCCGTCTTCCGTACGGCCAGGACGCCATATGTCGCTGTTGGCCGCCACCGCCGCCAGCAGTAAATGTACGTTTGTACGAACTTATATGCGTACGTATTTTTTGCACCTGGCTTTTGCCAGAAGGCTGACTTTTGTATGCAACGATTTCAAGTTAATGGTAAGCGAGGTTATCGCCACGTGGTGAGGTGCCTCGCTCGTTGGTCCGCTCCGTACACAAGACCACCAGAACACCTGCCCTCAGAGGTGTTCACATGCTAGTGCGCCAAGTCAGCCTCAGGTGACGCCTCGTACGGACGTGCTACATAGACGGCTTGCCTGGCAGGGCAGCGGCGTCAGTCTGTATGTGCCGCTGCCTTCCACGAGGCCTCCTCAGCCATAGCCTAACCGAATGGGCGGTGGCTGGGGTAGCAATGACAGAGACGGGAGATCAGGTCTTAGGCCGGGACGTCGGGTCTAAGCAGCAGAGTTGGATGTGGTGGGGGTTCGGGGATTCGGAGCCGCAGCTGTATGTCCGTCTGTCCGGTGTCAGGAGTCATGGCACGATCGGTTGGGCGGGTGCGGCGCCGCCGGAGAGGAGAGGCAAGGGCAGTGCCAAGCTTCATTTAGCAGCTTGTTGTATGTATCGCATTATTATTGTGTCATTGCGGGGTCGGAAACGCTTGCCTGCCTGCACCGTACACGCAAACGCATCCATGAAGCGTAGAGTGGTGTAAGCCCTTTGACTTCACGAGCTGCCGCTGTTTAGTCGGAGGGTCATAATGGTTGGTCGTTTCGCGGTTGTAAGCTTGAGCTGGAAATGATTGGGCGGGCGACGTTGTGTGCCACGTGGGTGAGACCAGCGCCGCAACAGCCAGTCGTTATCTGCTACAGGAGGCGTCGGGAAAGGCCAGCGGGAGGTCAACGATGCATCAGAACTTACTATTCGGGGACGTGGATGCTGGATGGATGGATGGATGGATGGATGATGGATGTGCGATGGTTGGATGATTAGGATAAGGACGGCACTGACTCGGCAGGAAGGTCGTTTCTGCTGTCAGTAGCGAGGCTCCATTTTCTCGCTCGCCCTCTGAAAACGATAATGCGCAGGCACATGGTTTGCGATGTTGTGTAGCCTGCCGTGAATTGCTTGATTTTTACACGCATATGGTTATATGCGGTCATGCTTGTAGCAGCATGAACGTAAAACATTTAGAGACATGCTTAAAGCCTCGTAAGATTGATAGTCTCCATAGACAGCAGCCGTTGATTTTTCTTTTAGGTACATTTTCAGTTCCTTCTTTTCAGTTTGTTGTTTATGCCCTATAAGACGCTAGCAGCACTGGACCGATGGAGTTGCGCTGTTTGAAGCGGCATTCTTCGGACCTTAATCGCCGCTGGATTCATGGCTCCTAGCATTCTCTTACACCGGCCTAACGAGAAATTGTCTCTCAATCGGCAGTGGCGGTAGGAAGGAAAAGTAGTGGGGCTTAGGATTTCAGGAAGGAGCAGTAGTAGTGGAGAGGGGGACAGGACGCAGACCGGAAAATAATGGTTGCGGGGATGGATTTGCGGCAGCAGGCCTAGCTAGCTACTACCACCTGCTGCTGCAGCTATCGGACAAATATATTCATGACGCCGCGCGGGCCACAAACAGGCCTGCTGTCACTTACGCCTCAAATCATGTCCCGCTGATCATGCTGCGCTACATAGTGTATTGTCAGAGCTGCATGTCTAGCTATGGGCGCCCAAAGACGCAAGCACACGCGCGAAAGGTTGCTCGTCCGGCAGGTGGTCCGTGGCATTTTAGTTGGTTGGAAGGCTACCCTCCTCCACCCGCTGCACGTCTCCCAATCCACCCATCCATCCCGCGCATCTGCCCACCGTTGGCATTGCGGGTGCCAGCCGGGTGACGGCCACACACAATTCACCAGGTAGGCCGCGCGCACCTGCCGGCCCCCTCGACAACACGTACTCCTCAACTTGGGCGCCAACTACACAGTTGCTAATGGGCTGTCGAAGCTGCAGCACTGCGCTGAGCTTATCACATTGAATTGCCGGAGGTGGATAGGTAACCCCGTTCAAGTGTGTCTTAATTTTGTGCGTATTTGCTTGGTTATGACACCCCGCGCTGCCTGCTGCTTTCCTGCCCGGGCTGCTGCCTTGCAGCTTGGCGCGCTCACGCCTACTTGTAGTCGCGTGGCTTGAGCACCGCCGCCACCGCGTAAAAGACATAGATAACTCACTCAGAATGTCGGTTGTTTGACCGACCGATGTCGGTTGTTTGACCGACCGATGTCGGTTGTTTCACCGACCGATGTCGGTTGTTTCACCGACCGATGTCGGTTGTTTCACCGACCGATGTCGGTTGTTTGACTGCTCTTGGTTACCCTTTTCAGACCATGTACGTGCACACGTCGGCCTGCAGGTCGTGCGGTGAAGATGCCGGATAGATGTCGATCACCGACGCGGCTTAGGGCGTTGCTTTGCTGCGCAAATCTGAAGTTGTTTGTTAAGTGTTATATCCTGCCGCCATAGCGTCGCCGGGCTGCTGACTTTATGCACCTGAATGCCGTAATGGAAACGTTGAGACTTTTCCCCACTTCCACTTTTCACGGAGGTAGGTGAGTTGAAGGATCGTAGTCAAGAATGTAGGACCAGGCGTGCTGGGGGATTGCTTTGCGGTGGACGAGCTAATTGACAGAAAAGGGAGCGCTTGTTACGTGCCGGATGGTCCGGACCCTTGAGGTGGTGAGCTATCCCCGCAGGGGCTCCCATACCGGTCGGCCCCCAGGGGCTCCCTGGACCGCTGGATGCCCGCCCCCCCGCCTACACAATGGGTCTTCCAGTCCCCCACCCGATCATCACGGTGCCGTCTTCCGCTGGCTGCAAATAGAACTTACTGCCAGGATGTGCACTTGCTTGGCTTTGTAACGCACGATGAATACACATACACATGGGGCCAAAATTCCTTTGTGCGTGCAGGTGCACGGGAAGCGGCAGCTGGCAGCGGGGAGACGTACGTCGCAGTCCGTAGTTGTCGTAAAATGTGACATATACACATAGTAATATATGGATGGGTTGAATCACTTTGCTGGCATTTCGATGATACCGGACTCGGCAGCCACCAGCCGTACTGCGAACGGTGTACATTGAGACCTTTCTCTTTCTCTTTCTCTTGGGAAAACTTGAGCTCGTCATCACTCCTAAAGCCTCCTTCAGCCCTCCCCCAGATCGACCGCAAGAAGCCGCAGTGGGAGACGACCTGCTGCTCGCCTCCCCTGCAAGTTATGAACAACTTGCGACAATGCAATGTTATTCTGACAGGTAGACCCATCTGACAAAAAAATGCTCTGCGCAACAACTGGGGAGATTCTTGAAACCTTGGAAGCTTGGGATGGGGGAATTTAGAATCGTGGGATGGGGGAATGCTTGGAATCTTCGAATCGAGAGGAGCACGGCGGCGCCAGGAAAGCCTGCGCGTATTCGGGCGTTTCCAGGTTTGTGATTGATTCAGGCAGTTGCCTATATAGACAAATTGGGGTTAATTATTATGCCGGCGTTACCGCTGTGCCATCAGTGGCCTGTGGGTTCATATTTCCTCACTCCGCCGTGCCGGTATGGTGGCAATCCTTGGTGACTGCGCGCCCAATTGCTTTTTCGCGCCCGCCCAATAACATTCGCTAGACGACCGCTGAGCCGCCGAGTCGCCGCGCCGCACGCACCGTACCGCCGTTCTGCGGGAATGCCACCTAGCTTCTGCCGTAGCGCAAGGTATCAAGCCTACGCCAGCACAGCCGCAGCTTCATTGCATCTGCCTGGCGCTACATTCATAATCTGTGATAACTTTGCTTAATGGTTAAATAGGTTAATAAATTGCGTTATTTGACGTGCGTTTTGAGCGTCGTAATAACCTTTGAATGAAAGTTTTTTAAAGAGGAGGTCGGCCCCGCGGCCGCGGTCCCTATCCGAGGCAGATCTGCCTAGAGAGGCACCGTTCATCCACTATACTTTTAAACGCTGCTCCACGTCATGCTGAGGAAGTGAGAAGATATATATCACTCAAAGTCTCAAAGTCCCATGCGCGCTGCGATTAAAGGCGTACGGTCCTTAGATGGCGCTAGGTCATCATACAGACCTACCTTTGTTGAGTTAGGAAAGAACTGCACAGCTGGTGGCCACTAATGCTCCGCAAGGGAGGCCAAAGCCATCAGCGTCAGCCATTCGATGTCGTAGAATATGTACGTAAGCTGTATAGTTGCGGTAACGATTGCTACCACAGTTGCCTAGTACACGTGACGCATATACGGCAGGATGAAGAGCTTTTTCATGTGTTCTCGATACATGGAGATTTGAGCATTAGGTGTCATGTTGTCATGTGTCTGGAAGATAGTAAAGGAAGTCATCATCCAGCACGAGCAGGCCGATGCGAGGTTAACTGGTTAAGATGCGATGTGTACGACGTGTTATCCTTGTTATCTGGCTCCCCTGAAAGTATTGCTTTATGTGCTTGTTCGGGGCCTGACTTCAAGGCCTGGGACCCCAGCATCAAATCCCGGTGAACCAGTCCTTTTGTATGATAAAAACGCAAAAAAAACATATTGCAGTACCAGCTGAGAGCGCTCTTCAAGACTTGGTACGCCGGCAGGTAGCGGTCCTGCCTCAATAACTGCAGGATGATCCAGTCCCCACTGCCTTGCCTTATTAAACTTCGGTACTCCGTTAAAACTTAATAATTTGAGGTGGTACTTCATTAAGTGAAAAGCTTGTCTATCCTCAGAAAATGAATAATTGGTGAGCTAGGTGAGCTCTTTTCGTAGCTTGGCAGAAATGGCGAAGGCCAAGACGACTTGGTAGCCATTCCTTAAAGTTCCATAGATAGGCTGTATATTTCTGCTAGGTCGAAAAACTGTCAGAAGGCTCTGGCACGAGGGGGCCTGGTCGATCGATGCTGTTGGTTTGTGGTTTGTAGCAGCTGGCAGCCGAAAAGGCCTCCCGGGGTGCTGGGATTCCGCTTTAGGGCGTATATATATTTACTTAGGTGTACAGATTGCTGCCGAGGTGTGGAGATAAAGTCTAGTTGATGGACTAGATTTCACATGGCGAATTGGTGGCGATGGATGACCTGTCTCTACGGATGTCGGGTGACTGGATGAGGAGGGGTCTAGGTAGCAGGACCCAATAACCACCGTTGGTTGTACAGTGGAATCAACTTTCAATAGCTATAGTCCATGGCCCCCCGGCTTTGATGGATCCCCCCGACTCGTGCGGGACTTGTAACTTGTAACTTGTAACACACACATATGGCTGCAGCCATGGAGACCGACCCAGCACTGTTACCTGCCCCTTGTCTTACGAAAGGAGCCATTGATTGAGCTTTTGTTGACTTTTGGGGCCGCCTTCGGGGTTTTGCAGCTCTGGGAATTCCATGAATGGGATGGGATTCACATGTGATGGGATGTAGGGTCACATCACCTTTCCTGTGTATTGTGTCGGACAAGTTGTTCTGTTCACGGCGGGAGCAGACACAAATGGACGTTGTCGGCTGTTGTTAGCTGGTCCGGTTATCTGATTCTTTGTTCGGTTTCTTTCAATTTTGGAACTTTTGGGGAACAGGCCTCATCCAGCAACAGCGTGCAAGTTCCCGTCAGTTTTTGTTGGTGTGCCTTCTTGTGAAGGTCTGGGGCCTTTCGCCAATTCGAGAGCTTAATAGCAAATTCCCCCGTGATCGCGGGTTTCTGAGCCTTCCCTTTTGGATTTGCTTTCTGCTTTCTAGGTGACACTTGCGTTGGTCTGGGTGGGAGTCTTGTTTGCCCTGAACGTTTCACGTGCAGTAATGCACGGCTCGCTGGCCCACTGACTCTACTCTTCGTGAGTCTGGAGCCCACTGTAACACACACACACACACACACACACACACACACACACACACACACACGCGGCTAAAGCCTACGGCAAAACTGTGCTTTCAGTTTTGCCTTACAAGGAGGTGGCCATATGTCTGCATAACGATAGACGCAACACCGTTGACAGCAGGCAATAGAGTCACATGTTGTCGCCAACAGGTTAAGTTGCTCATCGGGAGGCACTTTAGTTAGTCGTAACACATGGCCCAGAAGTCATTGTATTATGTGGGAGCTCTGGACTTCTCTGAGTTGATGGGAAGCGGGATCACGGGCAGCGGCCGGTGCGGATAGGTAGGTAGGTAGGGCCAGCAAGCCTGCTCAGGTATGTCAGTCCAGGTTGCGAATGTGTCCGTTGCATTTCGAACATCGACGGGGCGCGCAATGTTTCCGGATTCGCAAGCATCCTTTATTTCCCTGCGGTGTGCTCAACCTGCTGGTCCCGCGGTTTTCATGACGTCGCAACAGTACAAAGAGACGTCTGGTATTCGCGGCCAACAGCATGGGGTATCAAATCCGCGCCGTTGCGGCGAGGTTCTGAATGGACACGGAGCGAGGTTCATGGTGAACCCTTCAGCTCTACGGTGGGACCTTACGCAGGCAGGCAGATACGTCCTCTTACGCGCTTTTGCCAAGTTCTTAGTTTCTAGCGCCCTTTATTTATGGATGCGTCACAAAGCTGCACGTTTTGAATCGTAGGCTGTACTTACTAGTCAGCGCTTTCAAGCTCATAGGGCGATCGGCCGCATGAAAGAATTCGAGAATGCTGAACCACTGAAAACTATTAGTTCTTCACAGATCTTTTTACAGCTGTAGTTCGTTTGCGAATCGTCACTAAGAAGCGAGGTAGCCCGCGGACTGTTCCCGCCCCCTTTCTTTCAAATTTTGGGTGTGGCTCCAAGATAGACCTGATTTTCGTTTTTACCTTGTCAAGATTATACGCATTGGTACGTATTGAGTTGTCGCAAGCCACACAGCCCACGTTCTTTGGCCGTCCTTTTTCATGGTCGGTTCTGCGTCGGGACGCGACATTTTTCCATCTCGGTTTCAGCGCCTGAAACCGCGCGCTGCTATAGCCTTGTTTGTACGGCTTAAGGTCGGGTCGAGTTGGACGACAAAAGGCAGGTCGAATGGGCCTCATGGGCAACTGCCCGCGGGCCGAAACGACGGTCTCGTTCCGCGTACGCAGTGTACGTCTCCCTGCTGTACATCTTGCCGCATCCCCGGCGATGATGAGAACTGAAACGTCAACACCGTCCATCGGCCCCACCGCACTCTTAGCTTGTAAAGTGACTAGCCTCCGATCAAAAGGATCCTGCGTGTAAGGTTGGCGTCTAGGTGCGCCCGGAAGAATATGTTTTCAAGCCCTTCATTTTTTTGTTTGCATGGGTAATTCAGCCATCTAGTGCCCATGACTCGTCCCGCTCGCGCGCGCCACGCCGGCGACATTCATTTTTTATCGTTGGGTGCGACCAGGAAGCGAGTCGCCGTTTTATAGCGTTTTGCATCTCCGCTGTCGCAAAGTAAGGAGCAACTTTGAAGGTATACGCTTAGGTGTTTTGGCCATCGCCAACCGCCGGTATGCCTAAAGACAGGCGATACGTCGAATCGGGGCTTTAGCGTTTTTCCATCCTTTCTCATTGCATGCTTACTCAGCGGTCCATCATGTCGACGACTGCTGCTGTAACGACGCATGATTCGGAAGGCCATAGCCTTGTTACGTGATATATTTAACACTTTTCATCGGTATCAAGTATGTAATGTTCCTGTCGCAGCCTGGGGGTGCAGGCAGGGAATCGAGTAACCTGGCTGATGTACATATCTGTTCGGTCCCTGTGGCAACGAATAAAAGCATGCGTATTTTGCCTCATGAGCAAATTTTTCGATTGGAACTTTGTTTATTATAACTCAGCCGCGAATCGGCGGAAGATTTCATCGATGTGCGTACTGAAGGCCAGTCTACCCTGACGTCGAAGGATTACAGAAGTTATTATTATAAGCTTTATATACCAGTATATATCTTTGTAGGTGAAAAAACAACCCCCGCACCTTAGGCGATGCGAAGTGATTGTGCCCACCTGCGCCCGCCACCTGCGTACGGCAATCCAACGGCGAGCACAAATAAAGCAGGAGTGCACTCTTTAATGTATTGCAAGGGTGAATATGGTAGAAGCCCTTACACAATGAGGCTTCCCATACTAGGTACCTTAATCCTGGCGGCCAGCCTGTGAGTTGGAAGTGGCATTGTCGATATTGTTTGGCAGGTTCTACTTTGTGAGAGCTTTTATGGATTATATAAACATTAGCTGATATTGCGCTGGGCTTAGTACTGTTGGGATTTGAGATCTCCTAAATCTTAGGCTTTCCTGCGCCCTTGCGCTCTTCTTTTCCATCGCAACCATTTCATTGACTTCAAATTGTTACGAGGGCATTAATCTGCTTGTCAGCGTAACATCACCCTGCCGCCATCTCTACAACCGATGCTAACCCTCCGGTAGCCTGCTACCTGCGACGCAACAACTCACCGATTCCATTCCTTATTGTTCACAGGTTGGCCGTCAGCGAGGCCCAGACATTTGGTTCAGGGCTCTTCCCGAACTTCCCATTCGTTGCATGCCAGAGGTCGCAGTCGGCCTACAAGGTTGCAAGCACCGTTACTTCAGGTGGCAGCAACACATACTGTTTTACACTTCGTGTCAGTGTTCCAGACAACTGCGCGAGCTACTGCTGCCAGGATGCAGACCTTCGGAAGTTCGAGGTGGGCACCCCGCGCGTAGGAAGTTATAACGCCATCACACATAATCATCCCGAGAGTGTGCAAACATCTTGATGCAAACCAGATAAGCGCAACGAAGTGAAATAATGTGTTCTTACGGCTCAGCTTGTCCCTCCACAGCTCTGACCTGTGAGCGCACTGCAAAAGACCGAATTGCAAGCGAGCGGTGCCGCGTTGTGCTTGAGCATCTAGCGAGGCCCAGTCGCATTTCCTATACATTCCTGAATTTTGCAACGCCTTCACTTGTATTCGTTCGGTAGTGCCTTCAGCTTTCCGTGCAGTGAGTGAATCCTGCCGTTGCGATAGATTTTGGAAATAATTATGCGGGCTAAAGATGCGGACATCGATTCCGCCCCTCTAGATATCCCACTTAAATATTTTTTAGCACCTTCCCGTGCGCCCAATTATAAGTGTGCATATATTAAGCGACTAAATAGAGAGTGCTTAGTAACCACCAGCGCCTATGGGCACATGTTTGCCTGCTCGCCGTTCTGTACTTCATCTGCCCTTTCCCCGAAACCACCCTCTCCATTCAGCTCCCCTTCTCCCCTTCTCTCCTTCTCCCTTTCTATCGCTCCGCATGGCTGCTCTTCCCGTTCCATTCCTGCGCCCCATTTGCGTCCCCCCTGCTACTCAAACCACTGCTCCCTAACCAGCCTCACCCACTTCCCTTGCCCCTTGTCCCCTGGCCCTGCCCCACGGCACCCCACGGCAACCAATGAATCGCGACCCCAGCTGAACGTCTATCGCAAGTGCGATATCAGCGGCATCAAGCTGCGGGCTACACTGGATGGCGCCCCGGCCAAGACCGTCCCCACGATTGTTGAGGCGCTGGACGGCAAGAATGACTCCACAATCCTCCGCTTGCCAGCCCTGGGACTCAACCAGAGCACCGCCGACGGGGTGGAGCTCTGCATCACATTGGGCCCCAACAGCAACGGCGAAGGCTGCCTGACCCTGGAGGAGCTGTGTGTGCCCCCGGAGGGCTTCCCAGCGGGCACCTGCACGACCGCCCTGTTCGACACGCAGAACGACTGCTGCCCGCTCAGCAGGGTCACCGTGCCGCCACCATCGCCGCCACCGTCACCACCACCGCCCGCGGGCTGCTCCATGTGCGCCTACTTCACCGTCGTGCAAACGGTACCGGTCGCAGTGCCGTTCACCTTCAGCCAAGCCGATTGTGATAGCTTCGCTGCCACTGTCAGCTCAGGCATGGATGGGCTGTCCATTGGCGCGGTCGTCCGGCCCTTCGAGCTGCAGCTTTGCTCTGGCAGCGTCGTGAAGGTTTGTGGCGGCTTGGACTACAGCGGGCCAGCAGACCTGCTCTCCGCCACACTCGAGAACCTGGCTAGCTTCTGGCTCGAACAGGCCCTGGGCGGAGGCACATGCCCCGCCTACCTGCTCGGCCAGACCATCAGTGTCAACATCGGCGGTGACGGTGATCCAATTAACCCGCCGCCATCTTGCGGTGTCTCGGTTACCAAGGCGGCGGCTTGCTCACTACCGACCGCGGCAGATGGCCCAGCTTGCGAGTAAGTTGAGCCTAGCCGCGGAGCTCTGTCTGTCTGACTGTCTGTCTGTCTGTCTGTCTGTCTGACTGACTGGCTTGCTGGCTGGGGTTGATGCGTATTACGTTGGGAGGTGTGACTTCAAGGAAAGAAGGTCTGAATTATTCCGCGGCGGTTGTGCTTTATGCGGGAGAGGTGGCAGATGGCTGGGGTTCAGTGCGCCTTCCTAGTTGCGAGCCGAGGAAAACAGTATACCGGGTTGATCCCTTGTGAGCTACAGGATTGGCATATATACACCGTGCATTGTACTGCAATAGGGTGGGTTGGCATGTACACCAGTGCGCTGTACGTCTGCCGTACATCGTGTCAATCTGCACGCTTACTCCGGGCTCTCCCCCGCGCCATCCCGCTGCCTCGCCTCCAGCTGCCCCTGGATGCCGCGGCTCCTAAGCTTTCCTCTCCTCCTCAAACGGCTCCTCAAACGGCTCCTCAAACGGCTCCTCAAACGGCTCCACATGCCGATCCACACGCCTTTGATACATTCTAGTTCCCATCTGATTTGGTGTCCGTGTCTGACGTGTTTTCCTACTAGGGTTCCGCTGTCTGTCCTCCCCGCCCTCCCCCCTTCCTTCGTCTCTGCAGCTGCAACAGCCGGCAGAGGGCCACACCCTTCGCCATGGTGCCCGTATACACCGAGAAGAAGGGCCGATTTGCGAACACCAACATGTACTGCTTCGACTTCCTTACCATCGCCCCGGAGTTCCCCAATGTACGTCGTACATCCGCATGACCTACGTAGCTAGATCAGGCTAGGGCGGGAAGGGCATGCTGGGGTTGGGTTAGTTCCATAGTGGTGGGAGGAAGGGCGGGGGGTTCTCAGTCGGTTGCTGTTGCGGAGGGAGGAAGAGGGAGGAAGAGGGAGGAAGAGGGAGGAAGAGGGAGGAAGAGGGAGGAAGAGGGAGGAAGAGGGAGGAAATCTGCTCGAGGCAGGGTGGCCCATCCGTTGGGTCTGTGTGTGTCTGTGTGTGTGTACACATGTGTATATGTTATATTTGCAAAGGGGAAATGGAGGGATGGGGGCCAATAAAGTCAGGGGCGAGGTTCCAGGGGAGGTGAGGGGCTTGAGGATGGTACGAAGGGCCACTGGGTGGAGGATGGTGTATGTGTGTATGTGTGTGTGTGCTCTTCCTTGGCAAGCGCATGCGTCATGGCGTTGATAGCGGTGGATAGCGGTGTGATGATGAGTCATCGACATTTGCAGTACCGGTCCGTATGCGGCTCGTCGCTCCCGTGAACTGAACTGTTAATAGCAACAGCAGCAGTTAGCAAGCAGCAGCAGGAGCAGCAGCAGTAAGCAGTTGCATCATTAGCTGTAGCAGCAGGAGGCCACAGATGCCGGTGCCCGGTGATCTCGCAGAGCCACCCCACCCCACCCCACCCCACCCCACCCCACCGGACCCGACCCGACCCGACCCGACCCGACCTCCATCCCGATGCAACACACTTTTCTTTAACCCCTCTCTAACCACGTTCCATTCTGCCCCACAGGGCCCTTGCGGCAGCACCACCACCCTCGCCAAGGTGGAGTTCTGGGTGGACGACGCATACCGCCGCAATCTGACTTCAGTGGGCGTGCAGCCCTCAGATGCCACCCGCATGACCTGGCTGGCTCCCTCTTTCGCCACCAGCGGTGACCTGACTCTCAAGGTCTCTAATCTCAACTGGAGCCTCAGCCAGGCCAGAGGCGCTCGGATCTGTATGGACCTGGACAAATCCGTTCCGATGGCCGACTTCTGCCTAGGCAAGGTGCCTGGACACTGCTGGTAAGTGAACGGAACATTGTAAGGGGGCCAGGGGCGTGCGAGGATGAAGGGCTTCTTAATTTGTGGCAAAGGGAAACGCTGAATTGAGATGTTGTAGGTATACGGGGTTTTACCGTCGGCAAGATCCGCAGCAAAGTAAGGTGAGGCGAATGGTGGCACGCATCACGGGGAGTGGGCGGTATGCGGCGATCGAGGCCCATGCAGGCTTGTTGGTGTGCCACAGTGAATGAGGGGGTGGGCTGGAAAGGAGGGGAACGGAGTTAAGGGGGGGGATGTTTGGGACTGCTTCCCCGATCAGTCTTGTGCTGTTTATAAAAGTTACAGAACTGCGCTTGTGGCAGATGATGGCAAAATGATGAAACGGTGGAAACCAAGCTATGTAAACCAGACACAATTAGACAAAAGGACGGAAGAAGGGGCACCAGTGGCACGTTGAGTGCGGTCGTATTTCTGTGTGAGCTCGGATGGGGAGCAGCTGCACACGCCGTCTTCATTTTCTGTGGCAGCGTTCTAGCTAAGCGAAGCCGCGATGGGGGTGCGCTAGGTAGGACTGAGAGCTAGGGAAGCGGTGTGATTGGTTGGGAAAACGCATAAGGGGTGTCGGGGGGCTTTGGTCGTGCGGGAGGGCGGCGGAGGAGCCCGGACAAAGGGTTTTTTAAGGCCCTGCAGTCTCGAGCAGTCTGTAGAGGCAAGGAAAGGGCGAGGTGGCCGTGGCAGGCGCGTTTGTCGAGATGAACACGTGCACGAGTTGAGGCTAGATGTCCATGTCGATCAGCAGAATTCAGATTCATCCATCCAGGGGGCAACAGACGTCTAAAGCGCCGTCCGTAGCACCACTTGCACACAGCCAACAGGCCTAACCGTGCCCACATGCCTCACAACCACATGCCTCATCATGCTGCATCCCAATCGCTACCCCACTTCCCCTGGCCCCTATCAACGCCGCCTTCTCCCCTGCTTTCCTGTTCCGTAGGGCTGCGCTGTTCGATACCTCCCTGAAGTGCTGCCCGCTGTACATCGCGAGCACTTGAGCGGCCGTCCTCGGGCGCCAGCCGTTTGACAGCAGCCCCAGTAGCTTCAGCAGGCGCCAAGGTATCACCGCAGTAACATTTGCAGCAGCAGCAGCAACAGCAGCAGTTCGGCTGTGATGTGGTCACTGCTCTCATGGGCAGGGTAACCCCGAAGCCGCCACCGTGCAGAACTGCTGGTACAGCAGCAGTTGCAGCAGCAGCAGCAGCAGCTGATGCCGCTGCTGTTGATGTTGTTGACGCTGCGGTTGTTGCTGTCATCATTGCATTACTGTTTGATCGACCCGCATGAGGCACACAGGTAGATTCGCAACTGGAGAAGCAGGATGCGGGTGTCGTGGCAGGCCTCTGCGGCCCCAGCGATGCATAAAGCTGCAGGCTAAATCATTGCATTTGTTTGGCGCGGAAAAAAACTGGTACATGTGTGCGTGCGTTACTCTTAATCATCGCGCCAAGGACGCATGGGAAATCGCCATTGTGGTGGCACGTAATCGGCGGCTGCATGTGTAAACCCTACAGGAAATCAAGTAGGGATCTGTGCATGTAGCATCCGAACCCGCAGCACTAGTGACAACATCCGGTGGCGTGAAGTCACAGGGGACGTGTGTGGGGTATGATGTTTCCCCAGGAACTGAGTTCTCCTAGCATGCTCGCATGTTTTGCAGTTTCATCGTATGTACGGCATGTTGTACAATGGATAAATGGGACTGGGGACTCAATGAAAATTCTGAAAGGCAGTATTAAGTTTTGCGGTTCTCCTGAGAGTGGCGCTGCCCTAGCCACGTGGTTAGTCGTACGACGGCAAGCCGTCGTACGAGCCGATTCTCTGGACCGGTAATAGACATCTCCCCGGCCTATTCATGATTTGTTTATTATGGTAAGCACGTGCATTGCCTGGGAATCATAAGCTTGTTGTGTATATGAAGGGCAGAAGCTGTTTCATCTTCATCACAACCTGTGTTTTGTCGCCCGTAATGGGCAGACTGTACACACGCCCAAAAACGCCGTGTGTATGGGTTGACGATTACGTAAGGATATGATGCACACACGACTACAATAGTGACCGCAACGGAAGAAGATACGTGCAAGAGCACGCGAAGGCGGCTTGCTGAACAGCAGAAGGGGTTGCTTAACAGAAGTCCGCTAGAAGTTCGTTATCCTTGGACCAGCAATGACTGTGCCAGCAGCCTTACCGCAGTCGCAGTCTATCGCACACACCCATCACGGCTGATTGCCACAGCTCACAGCAGCCAACTCAGCAGCAGTCAGTGTCCCCGTGACGCACACCTGCCCCGTACGGCTCATCATGTTTTCACGTGATGTACGACACGCGCTGGTTCCACGTAGGCGCAGGACAGAAGCCTGCTGCCTTATCAATAAGAAAATGAAGAATGGAAATGGCTGGATCACCGGCGCTAGTAAGGGGAGATATAATAATTATGGCCTCTGCATTTGGACGCTACAAAAAAAAGTCGCAGTGGGATCTGAAGTTCCCAGTTAAACTCAATTGTCCATCGACACCAAAATCACGCTAAACGCTGGTTTAACGAAGCTTGTTTTAAAGGCTGCAGATTGAAGTTACTCCAACATAACCCATCACCAGGCTAGAGACGGCTTCTCCATGTCGGAGTACATGTCAGACAACACCAGGCCGGCACACATACATAAGTCGGCCGTGTGCCACCCCAGGGATCTCAGAGGACTCGACGGCATCCTCCGACGGCATCTGTTCCTCCGTTTCTCTGTCATATCGTCAGGTCCTGCGTCTGCACAGCTGTGTTCAACCACGCGGTATACACATAATGCCCTCAGTGACACTTCAATGCTATTCATGACCACATGTAGCTGCCATCACAGCATAGCCAGCAAGAGGCCCAACACATTGCCCCACACGATGGCTATAGCCCTCGTTTGGGGCATTGGACATACATGCAATCTGCAGCGTAGCTAGCTAAGCTGCGCTGCAGATTGTATGTATGTCCGATGTCAAGAGGATAACTAACCATCCGTACTGCCTCCATGCAGATGTCGGAATCGTCCCTCGGAAGGCCATCCATGAATGCTTGAGAAGCCCTCCCGTTCGTCATGGAAAGGCCCTGCGAGGCTGTGAAGCTGTAAGGCCGAAGGGCAAGCGGCAGAATTTCCCAACCGGACAAGATCATGCTTCCTTTGAAAGCCGTCGGCGAATCGGCTTCTTAATCTCTGAAGAGGCACTTGCTCTTGAAGAGGCGCTTGCGGGGCAGCGCGTGCTTGCTGCCTGCGTGATTGTTCGGCCTTGGAAGGTTGAACTATGCTCGAGCGAGCCCAGCCAAGCTGCCCTGCAGTTCCAGTTTGCGCGCTGTGGCATCGGGCGCAATGTACATATATCGTCATCAGCTAAAACGGCAATGACATGGATTTGGGGAAAAGACGAAGTCCGTGGTGTGTTTGTGACACGGAGGTGCGCATGATGCTGACGATTCATTCCCAATCAGGTATCGATGCCACACCTCACTGGCAGCCCGCCATGCTTTGCAATGGGTGGTTTAGCCGATCTTCCGAACTATTCTTCCTCCTTCCAAATTGTGGCAATATGTAAACGCGATATTTGTGTTTGTGCATGCATAAGCCGAGTTGTATCATGGACCTTGACAGAATGACTATGCCTGATGTCGAATGCAGGTTGCACCCGGTTTACGCAGTCAAATGACACCCAAAGCGTAAGATGATAACGAACTTGTAAAATCATATTTAGGCAAGCTTCACTTCCTTCATTCCTACGTATATAATCTGTATGAAGTCGTTGTATCGAACGTCGGGAACTGGCGCCATGAAGCCAGGTCGTCAGCTGCCAGCAATGGCGACACAGAGGAGTAGAGAGTCGCCTGTTTTTTAACTGGGCAGTTAATCGACTAACTGATTAATGCCAGTGAAAGGTAGGCAGCTGGTAGGCTAAAGTTGCCGTGCATCTCCGTCCCGCCCGACTCTCCGTCCATAGGCTGTCCACACACGGCATCGAAGAAACAAGCAGCCAGACGCATGCTCACATAAAGATAATGAAAATTAATAGACAACGACATCAAAAATATCAGTGCGCTTCATCGATGCGTATGATGGATCGGATTATAATGGAATATTCTATAAAGGTCAGGTGGTACCCCAATCCCTGCCTGCAGTTAACCCGAATGCCGTAACTGATGATGAAAGGGAACCAGGCCGCACCTAACAACTGCGTTAACGAACTGCAAAACATTACAGATGAAGGCATATTCAAATTAAGTGTTCATTTTTACAATGTTAAATCAATAGAGTCAACGAAATTCTTGTCGGCCTCTTGAAGTTGCGCCGCGGAGTGTGAGATACATAATAAAGTTGAATAAGAACCTGTGAATGTACATGTAATTGCCCTATGCAAGCAATGCTGCTGAATATCAGCGACGGCACCTTCCTACACCTCGAGAACCAGTAGACGTGGTCCTTAATCACTACGAGCATAACTTTAAAGCTAAGTTATTCTGATGTTTTGTCCTCCCGACGACGCATTTCGCTTTCGTCTTTTCCGAGGACCATGGCAGGGCCGAGACACACAGCGACATGGCTTATTCCCAGACTGATTGTTCTTGGAAGTCCATGCCTCTGGCGGAAAATATAGGCGCTGGTGGCGGCATGAGCCGGGTCCCAGCTCCTACCACAATGTATTAGGCGTATTGTACCTTGCCGCGCCGCTCTGAACCGCCGTGCTATTTGGAACACGAAAACTCTCCATGGCTAGGAAGATTCGATTGCACAGGGGTTATATGTCGGTATTACAGGAGGCGCGACGCGACTAAAGCTGGTCGGGGGTTTGGCGATTGCTGTCGGTGTGAGCAGTCTCTTCCAACAACCAGCAGCAGAAACCTGGCCAGCTTGGACGAGTAACATCTGGCGTGCCGATTGTGTTCGCGGCTGTTTAAATTGCGCTCACATTTCTGTGGGCTGTGGGAAGGCGGTACGGTGCACCCGAAAGAATGTGATGGGCGGGCGCGTGCTGTGCTTGCAGAGAGGTCCTCCCGCACACCACATCCATCGTCTCAGGTGCAGTGCACGGCCCACTGGCCCCTGGCTCTATTCTCTGTGATTCTGGAGCCCAGTGACCATCCAATCTGCTGGCGGCTGTCCCCCCCGCCCCCTCCCCCTCGCGTGCGTTTTTTTGATGCAAGGAAGACGTGTCCCCAGCGTGGCCCTCTCAAAAAATCAGAATTTTTCAGGAAATTGCAGAATTGGTAATTTTAATCTTTTTCCAGTTCTTTCCAGCGCGAAGCGCCCAGGGGGGCCCCGCCCTGTAGGAAGGGACCAAACATAATATTTCGGCCGGCTTAAACGCGTCATTGGTAATATATTGCATTCTCTACTGCAAGATATCTCGCCTGTAGCCAACAAAAATCGTATGAGCACAAACAAGTTTGGCTGCCTCCATTGACCGAGGCCAAGGTCGCATCAACGCCTTTCGGGCTAAATTTAATCTCAAAAGGTGCCGCGTATCTCATAATACAATTCTGAGGTGACGGCGTATGATAACTCGAACACCCAGCTTGCGTTACCATTTGCCCGCACGGGCATTCCGACTTGCCACCAGCAGGCCGACAAATTTGCTTTCATTTCTCTATGAAATACGCAAGCCGATGGTTTGTAAAGTTAATTTGGCCAATGCCTTCGAAGAGTTGCAGTGTGCCACGATGAAGCTCGCGACTGTGGGGCGGAAGCATACCTCCCACAGCATCAGCACTGCTGCAACAAGCACAGCTCCCACCACGTTGACAGTACCCATCAATTGTCACGCGTGCCGCCCTAGCTACCGGTCTGTACGGAGGCAGAGGGGCCCCGCCCTTTTTCCGGCTTCGAGGACGCCGACATACAAGTCGCAGTGTCAAACAACATCAGGTGCTCGAACTGGAGCACCAGTTTACCCACCGTCCCCGAGTCTGTCACGGGAAAATTAGCAGGACACGTCGCTGAGGCATACATAGTGCTATAACATGTATCGC